AACTCGCTGTATTATATCATTCTACGAATCTATCATGTACAATGACTGCCTGTTTTGAGAGCTGGCATAACAATTATCATAAGTGATAACATTATATTCTGAAAACAAAGAATTTGATGGCACAATTTATCTTGCTACTTTGCCTGACTTAATGGCAGTTGGGGTTACTTGCTCTATACCAGATTTTTTCAGATCATAAATATTTCAAAACTTAATTTATCATTGACTTAGTGTCAGTAAATAACTTCTTGAATGCTGAGGTTAGAAATATGTTGTAAAAATTATTAAGCATCTCCTTTTCCATCTGGCCATGCATTTTTATCACAAGAAAAGAGAGCAGTGTGACTAGCTGAAGAAAATGGATTTGGATTTTTAAAAATTTATCAGATGCAGTTAATTAACTGGTGAACTAAAGACAAGAGGACAATTAGTGCTGAGCACATTTGCTCTGGTGGAGAACTTGCCAGCAGAAGATCTCTGCTAGGAAATTCTTTAGTGCCAAAGTGAAGTTGTTGTAAGTAAGGGAAGAATACAGCCGATTAGGAGTCAAGTTACTGCAACAATGATCCCTGTCCTGCTAAGTCAACAGAAGTAGAACAAGATTCGAGAGAGGAGTTGGCCACTGTGAGAATTTTCATGGACAGTATATATTAATGAGAATGAATTTTTCTCACCCAAGTGGTTGTCATATGGATAGATGAACAGAAAAGAGAACATTAGGTTAAAAGAGTTGCACAACTGTTTTTGTTTTGTTTTATTGCTGCGATGTCACATGATAAGTCTTCTTAGCCTTTTTCTGTAGTGCTTAAAGGAGGTTGGTAAATACCACTTGAAATTCTCCATGAATTCCCTTCAAAGGTTTATTACAGAAATATATATACACCTTGCATTTGTAAGAAAAGAACTCACTGTAATTCTTAATGTAGGAAGAACTTGGAAAACTCTTTTGTAAAAGATAAGCCGTGTATGCTATTAGTGAGTCATGTAAAAGTTGCTGTCTCAATGTCTAAAATGTAGCTCAGCAAATTGCAGCTCTGCTATTTTAATTTTTACAAATAAAGTTGTAAAATAAAGGTGATTATTTTAAGGAGACTTCTATCTCTATAAAATACCTTAGCTTTTTGTGCCACTTCACCATCACAGGTCACCCACAGTCAAAAGTTAGTTCAAAATATGGGGCCCTCTTTTGGTTGTTCTAAATGGTATTCTAAATTCTGACAACCAGTTGTGTTTAAACATTTAGAGTGCCTAGATATGGAATAAAACGATAATTTCCAGAAACTCTAAACTTGGAAATGACCAGGTAATAAATATTTTTAATCTAGTATATCATGTGAACTCTGGTGCATCTCCTCAAATCTGCCTCTTTTCCCCCCTTTGTCATGAACATAACCATAGACAGTGGATAAAATAATCAAGCATGCTATTTAATGATATTTAATGGTCAGATATTCTTCATATTTTGCAATTACAGGTATGTTTGCTGGCCATACATATTCTTTTGTTGAAGTGTCTGGAAATTTTATTTCCATAGGCAGCAAATCCATAACAGATATATTTTGTTTGATGTTATTGTTTCCAAATCAGCAACCCCTGTGTACTAAGGAATGCAACACTGTCTGACTCTGTCCAGCCTTGCACGTGTTATATTTGAGCTTGTTGTTGAATTCACTCTTTCAACCCACCTCACAGGATAATTTTTTCTTTTGTACTTCCTCTATTTTACCAAGCATGATATCCTTTTCCAGGAACTGGCTTCTTGATAAGATATAAAAAGTATATGAGGCAAAGTCTCACCATGCTTGCTTCTAAGGAGAATTTTCACTGCGCTTCAGCCATGACAGAATTGTTTGTTCTGGCAGTCTACGGTACTTGCAATATTCATCATTAACATCAACATTCAGATGCATCGATTGTTCTTTGGTCTCCTTATTCATTGTCCAGCTTTCCCACGAAAGTGGGGTGATTGAAACTGTCCTACCGTAGCTCAGTCAAGCCGTAAGCTCAGTCACTTTAGGTCTCAAAGTGACATCATTGGTCTTATACTTTCAAAAGGTCTTTAGCAGCAGATTTACCCAATGAAATATACCATTTGATTTATTGACTGCTGCTTCCCTGAGCCTTGATGGTGGTTCCAAATAAAGTTAAATCCTTGAAAATGCCAATTTTTTCTTCCTTTAATGTGATGTCTGACAAGTCTTAGTGTCATCATGGTAACAAATTGTTTGCTAACAGCAAACTCAGCTCTTCGGTGGGAGAAATACAAGGTTTTCTACTCCCAGAAGGAGTCTCAGAAAGACACAGGGCTGCTCTACTCTGTAAGTGATTCCTAAGTGACGTTTAGGGTCACTATGAGTTGGAATCGGCTCAATGCATTGAGTTGGAATTCATACTGAAGGCTGCAGCCTCTATTTCATCACAAGTGATTCAAGTTTTTCTCACTCTAAGCATATTCTGCATATTTAGTATATTCTGGAGCAAATAGCAAAATAGTGCTTGAAGATCTCGTAGTTTATAAACAAAGCATTGGTCAAGCATTTTGGAGCTTTTATTTATTTTTTTTTAAGCAGCTGATATCCTTTTTAGGTTAGGTTTTTATACTAGTCTTTATTTATTATTCTGTTTTGCTTCAAACTATATTCAGAATCCTGGAAAACCAGAAATAATCTCTGTGGCTATTTTGTGCATCACTGACCAGCAGCAGATTTTACCTACTGAATATTTCTTTTATTTTCTCTGAGTAAGGAACCCGACTTTTCTTATCTGGATTATTCTCATTGAGCCAAATATGCTCCTTCCTCGGGCAATTTAAACTTTTACAAATGGCACTTTTTATAAATGGCAACTGATGCATAATATTAGCTATTTAGGCTATCTTTATAGAGCAATGCCAAATAAAATGTGTCATCTGTATTTTGCCCTCATTACAATACATTGATAAGCAATCAAGATGGTAAAGGGCAACGTTTGCCATGAAATTATATAGTAGACTGAATCAAACTGTCTTAGAATATTAGAGCTGGGAAAATTTAGAGGTGATTTCTAGGTTAAAAACCTTTAATTTTCATAGGAGGAAACTGACTATCAATGTGGTATTACACAGCGAGCTTGAGAAAGGAAAAAGAGTATAAGCAAAATCTCTAAATTTTCATTTTAAGCTTTTCTCCATATTATATTGTTCAACTATCAAAGTCAAGGGAAAGTATGTTTGTTTAATAACTATTTATTCTGCATTAGATGATTAACTAAGTATTATTAGGAAGTATCGCACAGGGTAAGATTTGAAAACTCTGGCAATATAGAGGGCTCTTTGATATGTAAATCTAGGAGTATGTAACAAATCAATTTTCTGTGGTGTCCTTATGAACAACCGCAGACAAATTAAAGATGCAAAATGAGTGTATTATTTGAATTATTTGGATTTCAAAAGGCAAAAATAGAGCACAAATTGAATTAAACAAAAAGTCGGATTCTAGCCTCTTACGTCTGGTGAGTCCAGGACGTTAGGCATGGTTATATAAATCCTCACCCACTGTTGTCAACTCCATTTCAACTCCTAACAACTCTACAGGACAAGATAGATGTCTTTCATATGGTTTCTGAAACTGTAAATATTGTGGAAGCAGGCAGTCTCATCTTTTTCCCATGGGTGGCTGTTGAATTTGAAACAATGACCTTGAGTTTAGCAACTCAATACATAACCCATTATATTTAGGGATCAATAGGCTTAAATGTTAGCAACTCAAAGACAAGATTTTCCTCTTGTCCTAATAATATCTGAATTGGTACTAAGATTGACTGTCATTGATTTCACTTTGGTCATATACCTACAATTTAGTTTACCCAAGAAAGTGGAATGTACACTTACCTTCTACTTAGAAGGAGGAGCATGTGGACATGGCCACACCCATCACATGGGTGGGGGCAGTTGGATCTGGTGCTCCTCATTGGTTATTTCCAGAAAGGGAGGAATTGCTGGGCGGGCAAAACTGATAAGTACTCATTAATCAAGGTGACCATATAATTTAGCTACTGATGGGGAAATTTGTGGGTGGGGAAGAAGGTGTTATTAATCATTCTTTGAGGACAATGTCCTTTCACAATTCTATGCTAATCTTATACCATATTTCCTTCCCATGGATACCACAGATCCCAAGCCTGTTTGGATATTGAAAGGGGTAATGTGGCAATGAAAGGACTAGAGAAAGAGAAAGGGCCTCCTTAATATGTTGCAAAGAGCATAAATATTTGAATCTTTTTCTCTTTCTCTGATCCTGTTTCATTGTCAAAACTAATACTTGATCCTAATTTTATTTATCATTGGACAGCTTAAATGTCAAAATAAATTAGATAAAGTTATAATGTAACCCTTAAGGAAAAGTACACTCATATCTGAAAGATATCGCTGCTCAAAACTCATTTGTTTTTGCAGAAATTTTGCAGCACAATATTAATTTTGGTTCTAGTAACATTAGGAATGATAATGATTCACAATGAGTACATTCTCAATAATATTGACAAATGCAACGCTTAGGAAGTCTAGTAAATGTATCAGGTCCCTATGAATATATATATATATCAGAAAGATAAAGATACCCTAATGATGAAATGTGAAAAATTAAAATAAATAATAGAACTGTGGAAGTTAGGTAAATCATTTTTTAGTTTTCTTAAAAAATTTCAAAACCACTGAACTTATATTTATAATTAAGGAGAGTTTTAATCCACATGAAATACATTTCATTGAATTGAATACTAAGCCAATAACTATAACAGAAATGTGTATATGACATATATAGCCGAGGCATTGGATTCATCTACAATTAGAACTGAAATTGTGAAACCATGGCAAAACGCACACATATCTTAGACATGAAGACTGTGTTATTTGGGGTAGGGATATTTTAGTCTTAAATTGAATTAATATCTAAGAATTCATATAGGTACTAAATATTCATGTTTGTATGTTTGTCATTTCATAACAGTTTTCTTTCTTTTAGACATTTGAGAAACTGCCTGGAAGGTAGACACATTTCCTGCTGGTTGTATGGGAGGAATCTTTGACCTTGGAAAGTGGAGATGAGGTTTCTACGGAAACTTGTAATGCTGCTGCCACTTATAAGCACTTGTGCAGGTAAAGTGTTTTATTATTACCAGGTTTGATTGATAAATATATAGGCATCATATTTCTTTCTAGAAATGAAACGATTTTCAAAATACACAAAACTTATGCTATTTGAAAGACTAAATGATAAACAAAGTTTGCAGAGTACCTTGTATGACTAATATAAGCATACCGAACTGCTCTACGGATGATTTTGACTCATAAAGACCCGACAGAAGAGAGTAGAATGGTTCCACAGGGTCCTGAAGGTATAAACGTTTACTGAAACAGACTGCCATACTGTTCTTCCAAGGAGCAGTTTGTGGGTTTCAACCGAATGCTTTAACCAGCGGGCACTAAAATTAAGTTTAGAAATATTTGTTTTCATTACAGTGCTATAAGGGAGTATATTATTTTATTCAACACAAATATATTATTTTTGAGGATTAGTTAGCTCTTGCTATTTAATAAGATATCCCAAATCAGAATGAATTAAAATAGCAAAAAGCAGTGTACTAATTTCACAAGTCCCTGGGGTGGCAATTTAGGATGGATTCAATTGAAAATTTAGCTTTGCTTGAGAATGTTGCATTTATGGTCAGCTATTGGGGGGTATGAGTGTTGACTAGTCTAGGACATTCTCAGCCAAAGCAATAGGGCTTCCTCAACTCTGGCCCAAATAGTTCCTTGTCAGCTGTGTGTCTGGGAGCTTTGACATGGTAGCTGCCCTAAATTCAAGACAAATCAAAAACATATATATCCTCTTGATGGCTGGTGCTTAGAGTAGACACATGTCATTTCTACTGAGTTTTTTTGCCCCTTGTCCAATGGCTTCCACATTCAGGGGTGAAATGCATAAAAGTTTAGTATCAACTTGACTGGACCAGAATTCTTAGTGGTTTGCCAGTTACTACTCAGTAATCTCATCATGAGCTCTCTCTGAATGATCTCCTTCTGATGGAAGTAGATGCTATGGGAAAATCTACTTTCCTTTTTGCAGGATCTGGATCTTAAGACCTTGAGTTTTTTCAACATGAACCAATGGGCTAGCTATCATACCTGCTGCCCTTGCATTCATTCACCTTTGTAGCCAGAAGCCTTTCAGCTGATTTTAGCCAAGTCAAGTACCTCCTCCAATCTAACATCTAACTCGTGGACTTCAGCTTGTATCCTACAATTCTTTGAGCCATTTCTTTAATTCAAATCTCTTTTTATAGATGTACATTTACACATTCCACTGGTTTTACTTCTCTAGAGAACCCAGCCTAAAGCAAAAAAGTATGGAAATCTACTCTGCCTCTTGATGCAAAATGCTGAAAATTTTCACTAGAAAAGAACATGGAAACAGTAAGATAAATCAATGTGGCCACTTTTGTGAATTATTCATCAAAGTCTGTTAAACTCATAATGTTATATTCTTTAAATTTTTTATTGTGAATTGAGTAAATGTGTACAGAGCAAATTAGCTTTCCATTCAGCATACATTTGGTTTCATGCTATTGAGTGAAGTCCCTGAAATGAATCATCATTCATCATGCTTCTTCTTTGTACTTTCTGTTTCTGATCCTCCTGAAGTTTTTCCATGAGTAAATTTCATTCTGTAGATCTCAAATTGTTTATTCTTTTAAGGAATGCATACCACAGTAGTGTTATTTTTCCTCTTATAGATGTACCATTCTTTGGCTAAAAATTGAGCCATGGTATTTGAAATCAACTCCAAGACCTGAAGCGTGCCTACTGGTGGTAATTATGGGGATTTCATGATGTAATCATTGAGTATTATTTCATAATTTTAAGTCTTATTTGACACTTTCCCTTCCCTCTGTCCAGGAGGATCTTCTAATGTCATCACTTTCAGAGCAGTTGGTGGTAGTAGTCACACACCACAAATTCCTTCTGGTCTCAGCCTGATGTACCCGTGTGCTATTAGTCCAGTGAAATACTGTGTCTTCAGTTTTCACCGCTCTTACTTCTTTTAGACAAGGAGTGATCAATAATTTCACCTTAGATGGCTGCTCATGAACTTTTAAGACCCCAGTTGCTGCTATTCATCAAAACAGAGTATAGAACACTGTCTTTGTCATTGTCTGTCTTATGCCAATTGACCTTGATTCCCCCCAAAGGCTATAGTCCAGAGCCTCCAGGACCAGTGACTAGTTCCCTCAAGATGTTTGGTTATGACTAAGAAGCTTGCATGACTTTGATTCCTGTATGCTCCATTATATTAATGGATATATTTTCAGCAAAATTAAATGCCCACACACCAATATCTTTGTCAGACATATACATATTTGTGGGTATGTTCCCACTCTACTTTCAACAAAAGTTAAGCCTGAGTATCTATCCACATATATGATAATTAGTCACTGTTCTTGCAGGATTATGTATATATTAGTATTTAGCTTTATTGCTTCTAACTCTTATTCTCCACCAAGCACTCTTAACTTAAAAACTTTACTACATAAAAAAACCCAAAAAAACTTGACTACCTAATGTGTTACAGAGCCTGAGATCATGTGATTATCAGAGTAGCCCTCCTCCCACCACATTGCACTACAATCCACCCAATGTGTCACCATCAGTATTATTAAATTTCTGTGAATTCATATCAATGCAGAAATGTATTAGGAGAAAAACAGGAACAAACATAATAACTTACAACCCTGGGACACAGTAATTGTAAAAGATATGTATTTAATAGTAATCTTAAGAGATGGAAAGTAATGCTAATCCTAAAGGCTACGAGATTGCTAAGATATTCAGAAAACCAATAAGAAGAAGCCGAAAACTAAGTGAAGACATTGTTGCTGCTTGAGGATCCAGCAGCTAAAAGTGCTGCAGTCATATTTACTCAATATTGTTTTGATTTATGGCACTTCTAACTTCTCTAACAAAGATTCAAGGTTAAATATTAAGAATTTTTAGTGACAGATTAAGAAAAAAAGAGAGAAGAGTCATCAAATTACTTAAAATTATACATGTGTGCATAAGAATTCTCTTCCTACCCTCAAGTTTCTATTTCCTATCAAAATTCAACATTATTTTAGCCTTTAAATATGTATATTGAATCATCAAACGGCCTCTTCAAAGAGCTTTTGTGTTAAATTAAAATAAATTATCCTTCTGAGAGCACAGATCAAATCTTAGCAATCCTCTTCTATTAACATTTATGTATCCAAATTTTATGTGATTCAACATGGCCTGTTCCTTTGTTCTTCAGGGAAAGTAATCATATATCCTTGGTGTAGAGTTTCATTGTGAAAGAATGGATTGACTCTACATATTTAAAGCAATAGCTATTCAAATAAGATATTTTGAGCTAAACATTGCCCCCAAGGCAGCATCTAGCTTATGAGATCCTCAAGAGAGAATGTCTTTAAATTTGTCTCACTCCATGGTGTGTTTCCCAACTTGCAGATACTATACACGTCTAGAGAATTAAACTGCTTCATGATAGAATGCTATCTTAATGCATAAGAACAATATAATCTTTATTTTCTCTTAAACTTACTTTTTATTCATTTCAAACAACCAAGTAATCTTTTGAATTCTCAACCCTTTCAAAAGGCTGATGTCCTAAATCTCCTCAAATTCTGGAACATTTTGGCACCACCATATTCTCTTTTAAGGTTTTCTGGTTTGTTTTTTAAACTTCTAGTGCCTTTACTCAGATATTAGCCTCCTGAGACTTTTCTGTAAAACATATTCGTCCAGAGAATTAATTTTTGTTGCTGATTTTTTTTTAAGAAAGATTTTATTGAGGCAAGGGAAGAACTCCCGGGAGGGAAGGGAGAGCAGAGAAAGGGATGGGGCGTGAGCCCCAGGGCGGTTCAGAGACCCAAGGAGTTAGATCAGGGGACTCACCACTGAAATATTTTTTAAATCAAATATTCATATCAAATATATTCTATTAAGGGCCCCGAGTGAAGCAAAAGGGTACACTCCACAACTACCTGAAAGTGTAGTGATTCTAATCCATGTAGCCATGCCACAGACCTAGGTTACGTGAACTCCTTCCAGAAGATCAGAGCTATTGAAAACTTCATGCACATAAATCCATTCTGAAGCATGTAGGGCCACCATACTCTGAAACATCAGGGGTCATCTTGAGTTACAATCCACACAATGGTAGCACTTTTTTTCCCTTACAGTTCTTTTTTAGTTTTTTTAAAATATTAGCAGAAAACCAGCTTCATTAAGAAATACAATTACTCCGTATCTATCTTTATTGTCTCATTAGTACATTTGGTATACCAGATGTAATTAAACTGAAGATGTTGAGATAAAGAGCTTATCCTGAATTATTCATATAGGTCTTGAAAGCTAATGCATGCTTTCATAAGAGAGAAACAAAAGAAGATTTGAAACATGAAACAAAAGAAGGTGGAGCACAGAGGAATCGGACGATCCTCTCCCTACTGGGCCTCGTATGGCTAGAATGTGAGAAATGCTGCTCTAGAATTCAGGAAAGGCAAGGACACAATATCTCTGCCAGGTCAGAGAAAGCAAACATTTTGATTTAACGAAGTGAAATCCAAGGATTTTTGACCTCCTAAACAGAGGAAATAAATGTGTGTTCTTTCAAGCTACCACATTTGTGTTAAACTGTCACAGATACAAAGGAAACTAATAAAATTTGCTACTTCATAACTTACTTTAAATTCTAAGAGGGTAGGAACTATGTCTTCGTGACACTGGACAAATCCTCTGTAAATGTTTATTAAATAAATGATATTTATTATTTCTATTTCTTTTTATATTATTAAAAGTGGAATAAATTCAGTCTTGTGATTTTTCTCTAGGGAACAAATATTCCTGAAGTCTCTTCTATTATACTTGTGTGTGATGATGTTACAGTCATAGGACCTCAGAAAGGCAATTCAAGTAACACTCAAAAGCTCTAAATTGGGACCTATTCATCCCCACCCCCAGCCAGTCCTGGGCTTTGGAGCTCAGCTCAAGTGGAGTCCCTCTGGGACATGGGGGTATAGTGAACGGTGTGACCCTTTGCTGGTCATGCCTACACAGTA